ATAAATTACTATTACCCGATTCAAGGCATAAGGGGCAACATTGGAACAATAAATGATTTTTAAAAAATAAAAATAAAAAGATTACGTCATAAAATATTTAAAAAGGAATATAATCCTATGTAGCACAAAAGTCAAAGAACTTCTATCAAAGTCACCAAATCCGTGGATTAAACCCAACTTCTCAATGAAAATTTAGATCTATATCAACTTTTCTATAAATTATTTCCCAATTCTTTCTTCACCTCCCAACCCTGCGTCAAACATAAACCAATTAAAAGTTTCAAAACCAAAGTTAACATATAAATCAAAATTTCCATTAAATTCTTACTCATGCCAACTCCCCTTACCCTTTGGCTGAAGAAGAAATAAAATAATGGAGAAGAAGATAAGAAGAAAGGAATAAAAGACTTTAAAGCAACAAACGTATGATAAGGATCCGAAGAAAGGAATTATATCATTTCGAAATCTAAAAAAGTAACTTAATGTTTAGTGAACTGGGACAAAGCATCAGCTATTGCGTAAGAGAATTTTTGACACACACTGACACCCCATGGCCCGAGAATTTTGGATTTGCCACTGTATCAGAATGTCAATTATATTCATAACAGTTGGAGTTGGAGTTCGAGTGATGATCACTTTTTCATTGATGTTATACCCAAACCCGCAAAGGAAGAGAGGCGTCAAGTCAATTTTTAACCTCTATTAATAATAGTGTGGTGTTTGTGTTTACATTAGAATGTGTCTGTTCTGCATATAGTGGTAGTGGATGTTCAATGTCTATGTTGAGGATTCCAATCATAATTTGTATTGTTGTGATCTCTGTCTTTGTTAAGATAACCTGGGTATCTTTTTATTTTTTTGATGAAAATAACCTGGGTATCTTTCATTGTCGATATAGCATCAGCTAATTGCGTAAGCATTGGTTTATTACACTTTTCACTTTCATTGGCTGGCATGCTACTCTCACCCTCATATATGCTTAAAAAACAAAAAACAAAACAAAACAAAAAAACACACACACATGTATGTGTATATATTTGAAATTAAGATGATCAACTGATATACTTCACCCCTCCACTCCAAACTTGTCTGCCAATCTCCCTCCCAGCGCTTCCATGGCCGCAGAGAACATGCCAACAATACTGATTCCAATCAAGCTCACGAGTGATATATATAACTATCGAGAGTGGAAGTTTTTCTCTCTTTCATTTTTTCACCACCACCATCTTTCTGGAATCATTGACGGAACAGAGCCTCCTCCTGATCTGCAATCCCAATATCCTGACTTTATTAAATGGTGGAGAAGAGATCAAGAGGCTTTAAACTGGCTGAAAGCCACTCTATCTGATGGTCTCCGACAACGTGTCATGGTCGGAGCCGACTCTGCACGAAGGGTCTGGCTCAATCTGGAGGCACACTTTGCCGGTCTCGTTCACACTGACATCCATAGGATCAAATATCATCTGCATAAAGTGAAGAAAGATGCCACTGTGTCAATGGCTGACTATCTCAAACAAATCAAAGAGCTGGCGGAGATGCTTGCAGATTCCGGTGCTCCTGTAGAAGATCGCGACCTTCTTCATCTACACATCCTGCCGGGATTGCCAGAGGAGTATAATCCCTTTCGTGCATGGATGAACAACAATCCTCTAATAAGTTTTTGGGATGAGTTTCAAGACTTATTGTTGAAGGAGGAAGCACATCTGGATGAACAGCGCAGAAGTGCTGCCATAAATCATTATCAGGATGGCCGAGAAGAAGACCATGCCATCGGGATCGATCTGGGAACAACGTATTCCCGAGTAGCCGTGTGGCAGAAGGATCATGTGGAAATCATACTGAATGATCATGGGAACAGGAAGACTGCATCTTACGTTGCCTCCGCAGAAACTGATGAGACTGTTTTCGTAGGTGACGCAGCATTTAACCAAGTCGTCAGAAACACCGCCAACTCAATTTTTGGTATGTAGGATTAAAATGATCAATTACTATTATAATTGTTGTCTAGTGTTTTCTTATTATTCTCTTCTCTTGACTTATATTTATTTGGTTATAACTTGTCAATCTAAATAATCAACATGGAATTTGTCAATTTACAGATACAAAGAGGTTAATCGGTAGGAGATTCAGTGACACCTCTGTTCGAAGTGATGTGAAGCTCTGGCCATTCCAGGTCATTGAAGCCCCAGGTGACAAGCCCATGATTTTGGTTACCCACAATGGCCAGGAGAAACAATGTTATGCTGAAGATATCACAGCCATGGTTCTTGAAAAGATGCGGAAGATTGCCGAGAACTACCTGGGCTCAACTGTGAAAAGTGCAGTTATCACTGTCCCTGCTTACTTCAGTGACTCACAGCGTCAGGCAACAAAAGCTGCTGGTCTTTCTGCAGGCCTAAATGTGATGCGTATTATGAACGAACCGAGCGCTGCCGCCATTGCTTTTGGCCTTTACAAGAAGGCCGGGTGGAGTAGCCCACGAAACGTGATGATATTTGATTTGGGTGGTGGCACTTTAGATGTGTCCTTGCTTACCATGAGCACTTCTGGTGACTTTCAAGTCAAGGCAACGGCTGGAGACACTCACCTTGGCGGCCAAGACTTCGATAACAGATTGGTGAACTACTGTGCTGCAAAATTCAAGAGGGAGCATAAATTGGACGTTAGTGGAAACAAGAGAGCTCTTAGGAGGTTAAAAAATGAATGTGAGAAGGCAAAGAAGAGACTCTCATTTGAGTCTGACATTGACGTTGAAATTGACTGTTTGTGTGAGAATACTGATTTCACCATAACTTTTACTCGTGCCATATTTGAACAAGTAAACATGGATTTATTCATCAAGTGTATGGATCCTGTGAAAAAATGTTTGGCCTATGCAAAAATGGACATAAATGGTGTCGATGATGTTCTTCTTGCTGGCGGCTCTACTAGAATTCCAATGGTGCAACAGCTATTACAGAAGTTTTTCAAGGGGAAGGAGCTGTGCAAGGGAGTCAATCCAGATGAGGCAGTGGCGTATGGTGCCGCTATTCAAGCCGCAGCCTTGAGTGGGAATGGAAAGGGGAAGTTTATTCAAGACTTCACTCTCAAGGATGTCACTCCTCTGCCGCTTGTTATAGAGAGTACAGATGTTAATGGTTTGAAAAAATTCATGAATTTGATTCCAAGAAACTCTATAATTCCCGTGAGGAAGGGCATAGAATTTTGTACTGTTAAGGACAACCAAGTTTTGATCGACTTCCGCATATATGAAGGTGAGAGTAGCAAACCAGCAAATCTCAACTTTTTGGCTGAATGCAGCCTCCATGACATTCCTCCAGCTCCCAAACGTGTTCATATATTCCATGTTTTCTTCGAAATTGATGCCGATGGTATCTTGAGTGTCTCTGCTGTCAATAAATCCACTGGCCAGAAGAATGAGATGATAATCAACCGAGACAGGCCGAAGAACTTTGAGGGAGATGAGACTTAAGAAATGATAATCGATGCCATGCTAACGCTGAAATAGCATATATTGTAAAATCAATTTGATATATCTTTACTGGTTTACTTGTACCAGGTTATATTGTTTTAGGGTGAAATCATGTATTTGTGATATACTTCATCCACCACCGGATACTTAAGAAATGATAATCGATGCCAGGCGCCTAACGCTGAAATAGCAGCATATGTTATAATACCAGCATGACAGTTGCCATGTGCACTGTGGATCTCGTTTGAGCCCCTATATTTTGCTTTGCCATCTTTTCCCTTTTGCTATGTGCACAGTTTTATCAAGCACTTACACTACACATTTCCGAGTTCTTGTTTTGGAGAAGTTGTACACTACATATTTTGAACTTCTTATTTTGGAGAAGTTGTTATTTTGTAGGGCGTTTAGCTCTTTTGTGAGAGCGGTCAGGCGAGTGACGTGGTCCAGCAATCGAATCATGCATTTTCCCTTATTTTGAGCTATTGACCAATCTAGTTTTAAGAGTCCAGACATTTTGAGTCTAAAACTAGAGTATTAATTTAGATAGTCCAAACCAAGGGAGACACAAGATAAAGACATTGAATATCACGAACAATAATACATGGTAACTGACTAGAATTTTCCAACAACATTTCATGAATTGAAAGCAACTTTCATACTGGATATCCTAATTCCAGTATGAAAGTTGGAATGTAAAGAACAACAAACATAAACACCTAAACATCTTTAACCTTCAACCTTGTAATGCCAAGACTCTTTCTAACAAAAGACAGCACATTAAGTTCAAGATTTCTTCCATACCTGGCTTTCAGGTACTAGTCTGCATACCTTACGATGAGAGAGGCGAGGGAGAGAAGAGAAACAATAAAACAATTTTGATCTACCGAAATGCATAATGCAAAATGTCTTGCTTTTGCCAAAAGAGAATATTTGTCTGCAGAGTTGTGCATTTTTACCTTAGTGGCATCTTCTCTTAGAGAAAGAACTTTGCCCTACATAGAGAGAAAAAAACTGTAATCTGGAGTATAATTATTAGAAAATGGGGATTTTTGTAGAAATGTCCCCGGAACTTATACCTCGGTTTCATTTTGTCACCTTAAGAAAAATTTAAGCGAAATGTCACCTTAATTTTTCAAAATCCATGACTATAACACCATCCAATTTTCCATCCATGTAAAGGTACAAGCCACTCGTCTCAGTAGGATATGGTTTCTTCACGCATAAAGCTGTTGGATGGCATGCAACTCCCCTTACCCTTTGGCTGAAGAAAGAAATAAAATAATGGAAAAGAAGATAAGAAGAAAGGAATAAAAGACTTTAAAGCAACAAACGTATGATAAGGATCCGAAGAAAGGAATTATATCATTTCGAAATCTAAAAAACTAAATGTGCTTTGTTTAGTGAACTGGGGCAAAGCATCAGCTATTGCGTAAGCATTGGTTTATTACACTTTTCACTTTCTCCGTGTATAAATTTTCTTCCACTGGTTTCTGCACTTATTTAATATTTCCTTGTTTATCTTTGACATTCCTCTGGGAGCTTTTGAGCCAATCGAGAAAATTAGTAATGGCAGAAGATAACCATGCAATTGGGATTGATCTGGGGACAACTTATTCGTGTGTGGCAGCGTGGGAGGCTGATCATGTAGAAATCCTGGTGAACGATCACGGTAACAGGACAACTCGATCTTATGTTACATTCACTGATAGTAAGAGGTTGGTAGGTGATGAAGCATTTAACCAAGTCGGGAGGTTCCCCGCCAACTCAATCTTCGGTAAGAAAGAATAAAACGATGATATCAATTATAATTAATTGTTTATTTGTTTCCTTCGTCACATAATAATCTAAACTGGGAATGATTTACAGATGCGAAGCGGTTAATTGGTAGGAGATTTAGTGACGAAACTGTTCAAAATGATACCAGGCGCTGGCCATTCAAGGTCATTGAAGGTCCGGCTGACAAGCCCATGATTGTGGTTAACCACAAGGGTGAAGAGAAACAATTTGCTGCTGAAGACATCTCATCCATGGTTTTGGCAAAGATGCGGGAGATTGCCGACTCCTACCTCGGCTCAAGGATTCCGGTAAAAAATGCAGTTATCACTGTCCCCTCTTACTTCAACGACTCTCAGCGCCAGGCAACAATACAAGCTGGTAAATTAGCCGGCTTAAATGTGCTGCGTATTATCAATGAACCAACTGCTGCAGCCATCGCCTATGGCATCGACAAGAAGGCCGGTTGGTTTCGTAAGAGAAATGTGATGATATTTGATTGGGGTGGTGGTACTTTGGATGTGTCGCTACTAAACATAGGCCATGGTGTCTTTGACGTGAAGGCGACTGCCGGAGACACTCACCTTGGTGGTGAAGACTTGGATAACAGAATGGTGGATTACTGCATCGACGAATTCAAGACAAAAAAGAAGGTGGACATTTGTGGACACCCCAAAGCTCTTCGGAAGGCCAAAACTGCGTGTGAGAAAGCAAAGAAGGCACTTTCATTTTGCTTTGACATTGATATTGAAATCGACTCTTGGTATATGGGTGAAGATTTTTATACAACTTTCACCCGGAACAAATTCGAAGAACTGAACATGGATATCTTCAACAAGTGCATGGAGCCCGTGAAAAGGTGTTTGTGTTGAGAATTAATGACTAACTCACTGCCCTTTTAAGATCTTGTTGTTGATGGACTTTGG